CGTTTTTTTGAAAAGTACTCTAAACTGTATAAATAATGTAAAATTAAATTGAATTTATTAGCCAATCAGACAAACTTGCCTATGAGGATCAGGATATTATTATTACTAATCCAGCACCATTTTTATTATAAATAAAAGACATGTACTAGAAGGATGATCTGGTATTGTAAAATAATTTTTTTATATATTGCACACCGGGTGAAGGATCAGTCGTGTAACATCAACTGTAGCGAAATTAGTCGGTAAAACCTGTAATGTAGGTAGTTTTTATATTAAAATCATACCGGGAATTTTAAATATCAATTACTATATTTTAAGAGTCAGTTACTATGCTTTAAACTAAAGATTTCAGTATCCAACGATGAACCCACTTTAGGTACAATTTTTGAATTCAGAACCCAAATCAGGATCAATTGAACTGGAAGCTGAAATTCTGTAGAGTAAGGCTTTACTTCGTTTCCCTCAGCTTTAGCCAATTATGCATTTTTTATAATAAGGTCTTTAGAAATTAAGATCGCTTTTACATATGATAATATATATTCTGTAATTAAAAAATAAACACACACATTACTTGGTTATTGTTTTCTGCGTATTATCTTTCATCGCTGCATACGGTATATAATCACGATGATCGATGTTTCTTATTTGGACATAGGGATTGGAACCGTTTAACCGTTTAAAAATTGCTCCATAGTTCCGGGCAGAATTATGTTGGTCATGGGCCGGAATTATTTTAATGCCGGCCAAATTAAACGGTTAAACGATTAAACGATTAAGAAAAATTTTAGGCGGTTCCAATCCCTATTTGGACAGACTTATTTTGACCGGTCTTAATTTTTGGACCAGAAACTATTTGAACCGGTTCAAAAACCGATCTGGACCACAGTCTTTGTCGGACCGTAACATTCCTACAAATATGTGTAGATGTAAAGTACGCGACTTTATGCTGTAATATGTAATAGTATAGAAGGTAAATGAATATTGTCAAATGAAATGATATCTAGCTCTAAGAAAAACATTTACATATTTAAAATGATGTATGACTTTATATCGATATTCACTAATTTGATGATTTGATTATTGCGCCAAGAGACGTTACGTAATGTGGTACATACATATCTTCAAATAAGTTCAGATTTAATGAATCCATATGCAACATAATCCTTTTTTTTACGTAAAAATGATAATTGTAAATCAGCTAGAAAAAATCGACAATTCATCAGATGTTATTCAAATATCCAACGAAATTACCCAATTGTGCTTAGAAGAAGATAAGGATTTGTTTCTTAATGAAATCATTAAAGAAATGTGTAATCTGTATAATGAAGAAAGGTCAAAAGGCAATGGTTCTAATTCAATTCTTGAAACATTAGAGCAATTTCTAGCAAAAAAGAAGCAAAATTCAGATAATGTTATTAATTACTGCTTACATAATCAATTCGATCCTATTTTGTATAACATTCTTGCAAGTTGTTGTCGTTATGGTAAATGGGTTGAAAAGAACGAGCATAAGGCATTCAGTTATTATCAAAAATCAGCTGATATGGGCCATTCTGATGGAATATTTTTCATCGGAGTATGTTGCGATGAAGGAATTGGAGTTGAAAAAGATAAATATAAGGCATTCATTTATTATCAAAAATCAGCAGAGATGGGGCACGCTGGTGGAACATGTAAAGTTGGATATTGTTATACAAATGGAATTGGGGTTGAAAAGGATGAACATAAGGCATTCATTTATTATCAAAAATCAGCAGAGATGGGGCACGCTTCTGGAACAAATAATGTTGGATATTGTTATGACAAAGGGATGGGAGTTATAAAGGATGAAAATAAGGCATTCATTTATTATCAAAAATCTGCAGAGATGGGGAGCGCTAGTGGAACATATAATGTTGGAGTCTGTTATGATGAAGGAATTGGAATAGAAAAGGATAAATATAAGGCATTCATTTATTATCAAAAATCAGCCGATATGGGGCACGTTGGTGGGATATATAATGTTGGAATCTGTTATGATGACGGAGCTGGAGTTGAGATGGATGAACATAAGGCATTCATTTATTATCAAAAATCTGCAGAGATGGAGGACGCTGATAGTGTATATATGGTTGGATATTGTTATGAAAATGGGAATGGAGTTGAAGAGGATAAATATAAAGCGGGAGAATGTTATTATAAGGCAGCCGAATATTATAAAGGAATTGGAGTCAAAAATGAACAAATGGCCTTCAATTCTTATCAAAAGTCAGCAGAAATGGGTCATGTTGAAGGAACTTTAAATGTTGGGTATTGTTATGAAAAAGGAATCGGAGTCGGCAAGGACGGACATAAAGCAGCTGAATATTATTGTATATATGCAGAATATTATAAAGAAGGAATTGGAGTCAAAAAGGACGAATACAAGGCCTTCTTATATTATCGAAAATCTGCAGAGATGGGTAAATAATATTGTAACTTGTTTGCAAGTTATTGTTATTGTGATTGCGTAAATATGTCATTACTTCTCAAACAGTTACGTCAAGAGCCTATAATATTTAATTAATCATCTATATTGAATTGACGATTTTATTAAAAAATTCTTTTACAGAACGAAAAGAACATTTTGATAGTTCATTATAAAAGTCATATAGCGTCTTATTGAACATTTCACATGCATCATACTCGAACAATGCCTCACCTAAAAAACTAAGGTAAAAAATAAGGTTAATGTGAGATATTTTAATATTCAATTCATATATATATATTTAAATAAATTGAATCAAATCAAAATTTGCTTTTTATATTGGTTAACCAAGATTTCTGTCTTGGTAAAATTATTTATTCTAGTTAGCATTTCAATCTTGGAAATTAATTTAACCGGTAACACTATATGTCGTTATAACTGAAATTACACTGAAGCGTTTTGTCCTGGTGATTGTTTTCAAATTTTGAAAAAATAAATTTACTTATAGAATTAAATCAAACTTTATTTACGATGGAAATCCGTAAATAAATATTTAGATTATATACCGGAATTAAACTATAAAAGAAATATGTGTACATTTCCTACAAGAAAGTATTCGCTTTAAATTTTAGTAGAAAATTAAAATTTACGACTTATTTTTAACCTAGATCATATTAAAGCAAGGTGAATACTTTCTTGTGTGCGTGACTAGTTTCCTAGTCTATTATAATTTTAAAGTTTTTTATTCCCTTAACATTTAGCTATCATTCCCGAGCCTAAACAATATAACGTTGTTATTACTTATACTACTTATTGGTAAACGCATTGGTTGATATAATCAACTCCAATAAATATAGAAATATTTCTAAAACATATCGATTTTATTTTTTAATATTCAAATATTTTTGATTAAGAGACAAATTTTTTGATTAAGAGAAAACAAATTTTTGTGATTAAAATATACAAATATAGATATATTATACAACTTTTTCTTTTTTTTGTACGTTCTACCACCCAAAAAGTCCCTTCACAACTATTCTACAATTTTTGCTAAACTATAAGTGATGTTGCGGATTCAAAATCGGTACTAGTGGCAGCTTCTGCAGCGTTCAAAGCTTCGATATCAAGTTGATTAACGTTAGCAGTTTCAGCAGATGCAATATTTTCATTAGCGTTTTCGAATACGATAAAAGGCATGCCGCCGCCGTTATTTAAGAAACTACGTTTTCCAAAAAAGAGGGTGGTTTGTTGTTCATGATCTGCACTGGCAGCGTTTTCTGCGGCGTTCAGAGCTTCCAAATCGAATTGATTAACATTAGCAGCTTCGGCGGACGCAATATTCTCATTAGCATTTTCAAATACGACAAAAGGCTGAAATCCTTGTTGTAAGAAACTACGTTTTCCCAATAAGAAGGTGGTTTGTTGTTCATGATCTGCACTGGTAGCGGTTTCTGCGGCGTTTAGAGCTTGGATATCAAATTGATTAACATTAGCAGCTTCGGCGGACGCAATATTCTCATTTGCATTCTCAAATATGACAAAAGGAGTGCCGCCACCGTTATTTAAGAAACTACGTTTGCCTAATAAGAAAGTTGTTGCTTGCTCATGATCAACACTGGCTGCGTTTTCTGCGGCGTTCAGAGATTCCAAATCGAATTGGTTAACATTAGCGGCTTCAGCAGACGCAATATTCTCATTAGCATTTTCAAGTAGGAAAAAAGGTTGAAAGCCATTATTTAAAAATGCACGTTTGCTGAGCAGGAAAGTAGTTTGTTGTTCGTTGTCAACTGAGGTAGCGGCTTCTGCAGCGTTAAGGGCAGAGATATCTAATAAGTTAACATTAGAGGCTTCGGTACTCGCGATATTCTCATTAGCATTTTCAAATACGACGAAGGGTTGATAATTATTCAAAAAGGCACGCCCTCGTAAAGATGACGCAGTAGCACATGAAATAACTGAAAGAATAAATGCAATAATGGAAATTGAAGGGTTGAAAGTGAGTTTTGCCATTTTTTAATAGTATGTAGAAGAATTCTTTTTGGGCTACAAGTTTTTTTTTTTAAGAATTTTGTAAAACTTTCACGAATGAGGCTAGGAATGCCAAGGTCTAGTTTCTTAAATATTTGAAAGGTTTTGAATGCATCTTATTCTTGATCATATTCGTATGTTGACGATCAATCAATAGCGCCAATAACTATGTTCGTTTTTGTAATAATCAAAAATGCATCAACGCATACACGCATGACTTTAAGCAAAATTCATCAGGCGCGACGCCAACAAATAATGATTACTGATTGTTAATGCAAATTCAAGTTCAAATATTGTAGCTTTGTAGGTATACAAAAATGCATAATTAAGATGTTTTGTAAACAAAGAATACATCACAATTTGCAAGTAACTTTGCTTGACGATTTTTCATGTTATGCATTCAGTCATGATAAATAAATTCTGCAATGTCAAGCGGCATAATTGAATAATCCCGAATCAGTTTTGAATATCGGTATCCAAATTTAACCGTTATAGTTTTATATTTCAATGGTTTAAGCCATCCATTAAACCGTCAGGTTTAGTGTTTAAATTTGCACGCTAAAATTTTTTAACGAAAATAAGCCAATCAGAATGTCCATTACATATTCGAGCCTTCAACAAATCACGTGCCTACAGACTAACCAATAAAATTGGAGTTTTTTTGATATGTTTGTTTAATTTGACCACCTCCCCACTGCGCTTAAGCCTCGAAAGGAACATTAAACGAAATTATAACTTCAAACGGTCTAATAGCTTTGTTTTTTAATTATTAAAAAATAATGCTAATTTTTTTTAAAAAAAATAACCAAGACCTATACTATAATGGCATCCGAAATAATAATACCTGGAAGATCTACAAATTAATTAAAATTTTTTTTTGAGCTTAACTAATTCAAAATTAGTCTAGAAACATTTTTTACTTAAGGAACAGATGCTGTTAATAAAATTCAGCTGTATAATTTTTTAAAGTTTTTTGTTTTTTGTATAACTTATTATAGTTATAATATAAAAATCAGTTTTCCGCAAACCTTTATTTTTTGTCAATTTCATTCCTTTTCTCAGCACCAAACCCATACCATGAATTCTTTATACTGTAAAGGAGGTCCGAATAATTTTATCAAACAGAAAGCGTGGGATCAACTTAAGAAGAAATTGTAAGATAACCGAATACATATTCTTAAGATATACGTATCAGTATCTTGTATTATAATGACATATGTACGGTTATTCCAGTAAATTTTCGAGAGTCGGGCTTTATTAAATGAAACTAAACCCTCACTATCATACATTTTTCTGATTTTCGATTTTACTATTCCAATGCATGCACAAGTAAAAAGCCTATGCAAATTTACTTTATGATGAAACCCTTTATTACGTTACGTACAAATATTAAGAACGTGCCTCACGGGATGGTTATATGATGCAGTCACGTAGTGCAATAATCACGAGATAAAAATTACCATAATGTTGTCTATTTATTACTGCTATAATATATTCGGTCTGCTTTGAATAGTTTTTTGACTTTTTACCTTTCAAATCTTTGATAAGTATGATAACTTTCTAGATTCAAAGTGTTGTATCATGTAGAGAATAGATGGCAGTATCCTGAAAATAATATTCCTAATACATAAAGTACTCCAATGAATCACTGGATTCATAAATAGTACCCAGACTATTCAACTTTAAAAAATAAAGTTCTTGCATAAGATCTGGGTACTATATACAGTGCCAAATAGTAAATATGATTTCTCCTTATCATGATGTGACTAGTTTTTTTCTGTACAGATTATGAATAAAAATAAATTACAAAATCGGACAAGGGTTGTGAATGTTTATTTCTTGACTGGCATCAGCTCTCTCACCGAACAATTTTTTTTAACACATATTCTTTCATAAACCAATGATAGCACTCAATATATCATAGGCGAATTTGATTATCGTTGAGTTTAATATTATTCAGCTGAGCTTGTTAGGGAATAAATGAAACATGTCTGGTCCGATATAAGTGAAACGCACAATATTTTTGTAAAGATGCGTCGAAATCCTCGATATCTAATTAATAATAGTGTTTGATCCTAATAAATAAGTTGTTTATATCAGGGACACGGGTCCTTTGACAAACTAATTATATCTAAGCAGTTGTTGCTTTAAAGAATCCCATTAAATAAATGGTTTGCAATTGTACTAACTTGCAAATGTGAAAATGATATTCCAATTGCCACAATAATTGTAATGAAAAGTCCTTCTGCACTGCCATTTTAGCGGTTAATGAAGCTAAAACATCATTGAAACCAGTGTTATTCCGTTGAAAAAAAACAATAGCAATAGTAGGGTTCGGAATGCTGTGGGATTTTTTGATTCTAAACATGTTAGAATATCTGTCAAATAATTTGTAGCTTATTCCCAAGATTTTTACTTTACCTAGAAGTGCATGCATTTTTCAGGTCAAGGGTAACTACCTTTTTTAAGTTCAAATGCCTGCACCTCTACTTTTACTTATTTACGCCATATTTGAACGCAAGTATTTGGACATTTGTTCTCTCTGCTACGTACAACTTTGAGTTTTTTGAAAGGGTTGTCCTGTTTAGCCAAATTTGACCTTATACATAATGCTTAGACATCGCATGTTCATACCGATACAGTACAAATTTATTAAAATTGGGATTGGGATTGGGATCTGATACGAGTTTTGTTATATTTTGGATTTGAATTTAGAATATTTTACTATGTTTGGTATTTCGAGGATTTATATATTGAGCAACGTGTATACATGTTTATTCATTGTTCAATTTTTTTTTTTTTAAGATATCGATACTATAGTTAAAAAATCAGTAATATAATTCGACAACTATATACTTAATATTTGAAGTTGTTTATTCGGTTGATATCTAAAGGTTTAATATAAATAAGAGAAAACATATGCTCTCTTATTAAGATTTTTGTTGTTAGATCATATTAAAAAATTTAATTACAAGATAATAATAATAATAATAATATAATTATTATTATTTTTAAAAGTGAGGTCTTGCCTTAGTTTCTTTATTGATTATTAATATCTAAATACATTTTGTACATATTATTTAATCTTCGAAAGCTAAAGCTTAGGTTAATTTACCTACGACTCAGACTTTGCTAAAGAGCCTACTATTGTATTGATGTAATTTGGTAATATATTATAGTTTATGAACAGTTTTTTCCATATTTCAAGTTTAATTTCTGTTTTTAGTTTCATTAACATTGTATTATATGCATTGGTTATGGTTGTTGAGATTGTTGCTATATTTTCATCAGTTTTCTGTAGCTGTGTTGTGTTAAGGTTGTTTAGAGTATTATATTGTTCTTTATATTGTGTTAATTATATTTTTTTATATATTTTTTTATATGATTTTATGTATTAGATAAATTGATAAACTGTATTTTAATTTTAGTACTTGTGTTACAGCTTGCTAGTTTTTAGTAAATTTATTACAATACTATATTGTTTATATATGCAATTTGACTTATTGTTATTTTTTTGTATTTGAGATCTTTTATTTTGACTTATTATTTATTTTGCTTTCTTTTTTATCAGTACACATGCATTCTGTTATTTAGCTATATTTCTAATGAATGTACTATCTTATTTTTCAGTTCTTCTATTAATTACTTTTTTTGAATATCATTTCTCTTTTTTTTAAAAAACTTTCATGTTTATTACTAGCAACTTTGATTTGGCTCTATTTATCTCTATATTATTCATTATAAAGAACTCTTCTGCTATTTCTAAGTTTCTTATTAACTGCTTCTTACTATTTGCAATTAATGTAGTATCATCTGCATATGCAATTATTGTTTGATGATATCTTGAGATATTGTTGTATTGCACATCTTTTCTAATTTGTAGTTTTATTATATAATCTAAACTTTTATCTTCTTGTATTCTTTTTAACAGTAAAGCATAAAAAGTTGTCATATTAATAATAATATTATTTTATCTTAATCTATACTATTTTTTGTTATTATTTTTTTTGTTAGATCATAAACTGTAATAATTCTTAGTTGTCTTTTATGAAAAAGATTTAAAATATATTTTATTGTTTTTTAGAATATTTTGACTCTGTGCAATACTAATTCAAGTCTTTTAAGCAGTACTGAATCAAATGCTTTTTTATATCTTGCAAAATATTTATATTTTTTTTGTTTTTTTTTTGTTTATTCTATTATTATATTTAGAATATGTATTGGTTGTTCTGTTAAGTTGCTTGAAAGTTCTTCATAATTTGGTCCTCTAAGTATTTCTTTTTTTATAAATATTTTAGCTAGTCTTTTTATTAATACCTTTGTTATAATCTTTCTATTATTACTATTAGTTAAATATTGTTTAAACTATATTCTCATTCAATATTTTTTGATATTGGATAACTCTGTGCTATCTTCTATTTAGTTGATATCTTTTCTACTTTTAAACATAACTCTGCAAAACCTCTAAACACTTCTTATATTTTTTTTCTTGTCTATCTTATCAGAGTATAACTTATATCTAATATACCTTGAGCTGTTTCTGTTTTTAGTTCTTTTAGTACTTTTTTTATTCTTTTTTTTGATTTTTTTCTCAACTTTTGTATATCATTCTTTTTTAATATTGATATAAGGTATACAATCAGGAATAACACTAAAAGAACAGAAAAAAATATGATAAATTGTATTTTAAATTTGCCAATGTTATGTAATGTTGCTTAAGGCAGATAAGGTGGATTTGATTTGGTACTAGTCAAAGATAGCCTTGAGAATATCATGAAAAGGAGCTTAAAGAAGTATAAGTTTATTAATTACTTAATTTGTTTATTGATTTTAGAATCTTATTTAAATTTTTTATTTTTATTTTTAGAGCAAGTTACAAGTTAAAGGTGATTCAAATTACAAAAGGACAGAAAGGTACTATAGGATAGAACTTTTCTACTAGAGAGCAATTTTATTTTACTAGAGAATGAGAAAATACTATT